TGTCAGGTGATGGACCAACTGTGTCAAGGTGATGGTCCCAACTGTGTAATAAAGGTGATGGGCCAACTGTGTCAAGGTGATGGACCAACTGTGTCAAGGTGATGGTCAGCTGTGTCAGAGTGTTTATGCCTTAGATTGATGTTACCTTGGGGAGTAGTGCAGGAGGTGGGAGTGGTGGGAGGAGTAATGGGGGTGGGAGTGGTGGAGGAGTAAGCAGAGTGGGGGTGATGGGAGTAATGGGGGAGGTGGGAGTGGTGGAGGAGTAATGAGGGAGGTGGGAGTGGTGGAGGAGTAATGAGGGAGGTGGGAGTGGTGGAGGAGTAATGAGGGAGGTGGGAGTGGTGGAGGAGTAATGAGGGAGGTGGGAGTGGTGGAGGAGTAATGAGGGAGGTGGGAGTGGTGGAGGAGTAATGAGGGAGGTGGGGGTGATGGGGAGGAAGAGTGATAGGCAAGGGGACATGTTTCGTAGGAGTATTGGGTGTCTATGGAAGGTGAGTACAGGTGATGGTAGGTGAGTACAGGTGATGGTAGGTGAGTACAGGTGATGGTAGGTGAGTACAGGTGATGGTAGGTGAGTACAGGTGATGGTAGGTGAGTCCAGGTGATGGTAGGTGAGTCCAGGTGATGCTAGGTGAGTCCAGGATGCTAGGTGAGTACAGGTAATGTTAGGTGAGTCCGGGTGATGCTAGGTGAGTCCGGGTGATGGTAGGTGAGTCTAGGTGATGGTGGGTGAGTCCAGGTGATGCTAGGTGAGTCCAGGTGATGCTAGGTGAGTACAGGTGAAGCTAGGTGAGTCCAGGTGATGCTAGGTGAGTACAGGTGATGCTAGGTGAGTCCAGGTGATGCTAGGTGAGTACAGGTGATGCTAAGTGAGTACAGGTGATGGTAGGTGAGTACAGGATGGTAGGTGAGTCCAGGTGATGCTAGGGTGAGTACAGGTGAAGCTAGGTGAGTCCAGGTGATGCTAGGTGAGTACAGGTGATAGTGAGTCCAGGTGATGCTAGTGAGTACAGGTGATGCTAAGTGAGTCCAGGTGATGGTAGGTGAGTACAGGTGATGGTAGGTGAGTACAGGTGATGCTAGGTGAGTCCGGGTGATGCTAGGGAGTCCGGGTGATGCTAGGTGAGTTCAAGACGGTGATGCAGGTGAGTCCAGGGTGACGCAGGTGATGCTAGGTGAGTCCGGGTGATGCTAGGTGAGTCTAGGTGACGAGGTGACGGCAGGTGAGTCTAGGTGACGCAGGTGATGCTAGGTGAGTCCAGGTGATGCTAGGTGAGACAGGTGACGCAGGTGACGGCAGGTGATCGTCTTTAAATGTGAGATATCTTTGTCTCGGTCTGGTTACAACACAATAGACTCTTCCCTCAATACCTCTCAGCTCGACCCCTCATATTCCTACACCTCCAGCTGGGGGTCGGGGGGTCGGGGGGTCGAAGGTCGGGGGGGTCTGGGGGTCTTCTCCAGGCCCCTCCCCTCAGGTCGCCATCAGGCCCCATCCTCAGGTCGCACCCCATCCCCTCAGGGTCGCCATCTGGGCCCCATCTCCTCAGGGTTGCTACCCCACTCAGGTGCTACCCCCATCTCCCCAGGCTGCCAGGCCCCATCTCCTCAGGTCGCTACTGGGCCCCATCTTCCTCAGGGTGCTACTGTGGGCCCCATTCTCAGGGTCGCTACTGTGGGCCCCATCTTCCCTCAGGTCGCTACTCAGGCCCCATCTCCCTCAGGTCGCTACTTGGGCCCCATCTCCTCACAGGGGTCGCTACATGTGGGCCCCATCTCCCCTCAGGTCGCTACTGTGGGCCCCATCTCCCTCAGGTCGCTACGCCCCATCTCCCCAGGGTCCACGGGCCCCACCTCAGGGTGCTACCGGGCCCATCTCCCCTAGGTCGCTACCAGGGCCCCATCTCCTCAGGGTCGCTACCTGGGCCCCATCTCCCTCACAGGTCGCTACGTGGGCCCCATCTCCCTCAGGTTGCCATCAGTCCCATCTCTCAGGTCGCTATTGGGCCCCATCTCCCTCAGGTCGCACAGGGCCCATCTCCCCTCAGGGTCGCTACTGTGGGCCCCATCTCCTCAGGGTCGCTACTGTGGGCCCCATCTCCCCTCAGGTCGCTACAGGGGCCCCATCTCCCCTCAGGTCGCTACTGTGGCCCACCCCCCCTCAGGTCGCTACTGTGGGCCCCATCTCCCCTCACAGGTCGCTATCAGGGCCCCATCTCCCCTCAGGTCGCCATTGGCCCCATCTCCCCTCAGGGTCGCTCACTGTGGGCCCCATCTCTCAGGTCGCTACTGTGGCCCATCCCCCTCAGGTCGCCATTGTGGGCCCCATCTCAGGTCGCCATCAGGCCCCATCTCCCCAGGGCTACTGTGGGCCCCATCTCCCTCAGGTCACACTGTGGGCCCCATCTCCCTCAGGTCCATGTGGCCCCATCTCCTCAGGGTCGCTATCAGGGCCCCATCTCCCTCAGGGGTCGCCATATCAGGGCCCCATCTCCCCTCAGGTCGCCACTGTGGCCCCATCCCCTCACAGGTCGCCATCTCCACTGGGGCCACAGGCCCCATCTCCCCTCAGGGTCGCTATCAGGCCCCATCTCCCTCACAGGTCACAGGGCCCCATCTCCCTCAGGTCGCTACTGTGGGCCCCATCTCCCAGGTCGCCATCGGGCCCCATCTCCCTCAGGGTCACAGTCAGGGCCCCATCTCCCTCAGGTCAGGCCCATCTCAGGTCGCTACACAGGGCCCCATCTTCCCTCTGAACTCCCCTCCAAACCTCCCATCTTATCTCAAGCTCTCCTCTAGTCTCCTCTCACCCCCATCACCCCTCTGACCCCCAATCTCCCTCTGACCCCTCATCTCCTCTAGTCTCTGACCCCTCATCTCCCTTCTAGTTCCTCTGACCCCCAATCTCCCTCTAACCCCTCATCTCCTCTAGTCTCCCTCTAGGTTCCCTTAACCTCCTCCCACTGTAACCTTCTGACCTCCCCTTATCAGAACTTGACTTAACCCTGGCTCTTATTAGGGCTATCAACCCCCCCCGGTTCTCTTCTTCTTCTCTCTCTCTCTCGTGCGGCAGACACACACACATAACCATTGACTTGACTGACCTCTCGAGTTCAACACGTCTGGAACATGTTGGTGGTAGTGAGAGAGAGAGAGAGAGAGAAGAGAGAGAGAGAGAGAGAGAGAGAGAGAGAGAGAGAGTGTAATAACTTTATCAACAGTAAGTTAGGATCGAAGAAAGTGACGTCATCAGGTAGTTAGGTGACGTCATCAGTTTGTATAGAGTGAAGGCCATTATGAAGTAAATATTCCACAGTTTATTTATTCGTATATAATAACAGTGAGACAACGAATGGTTAGGTTAGGTTAGGTTAGGTTAGGTTAGGTTAGGTTAGGTTAGGTTAGGTTAAAGTTTGCGTTTGATTCCTTGTGTGTAATGGTGGAACTTTTCTCTTGTGTTAGAGCTGACCACACGACACCGCTAACACTATTATTATTATTCTGTCGTTTTCTTGCTTCTTCTTTATCTTCTTATTTATTTGATTCCTTTATTATTATTATTATTATTATTATTATTATTATTATTATTATTATTATTATTATTATTATTATTATTATTATTATTATTATTATTATTATTATTATTATTATTATTATTACAAATTACTATAACGTGTAATTTGGGTTAATGACGTGATTTCATACATAATTGCTCTTGTAAATAGTTGAATGAAGACGTAGAGGCAGGAGCGACTTACGACACACGTTGAGTGAGTCCAGCCAACGTTTGTGTCGTAACATTACATCAACGAGTCTTGAAAACGTTTGGGTCATTTACGATTATTGCTCTGTCGAAAACGTTGCGTGTACTGTACTAACAAACATTCAGCAAGTGGAGAACGTTTTCTTAGTAAGGCCACTCTAGGAAACGTCTTTATGCAATCATTACCGAGAAAAACGCTTATATCTGTCGACTGTGTGGTTGGTGGGAGGGCGACGGGTAACTCATGACGCCGGGAAGTACTATTGGCGCCTGTGGGGGTCAGCCTGAATGATAACACGCAACTTCTCTCGGGGAGGGGTAACAATGGAATGATAACACGCAACTCTCTCTCTCTCGGGGAGGGGGGGCGGGGGGCCTTGAATGATACACGCAACTCCCTCTCTGGGGGGGGGGGTTATTTACGCAGCAGAAGAACATTTCAACTTCTTGTCTGAAATTTTTTCTTGTGTTGGGGGTTAAGTCGAATTTCAGTTCACATTCTCTCGTTCTTATATTGAATGTGTATTTGTGTGTCGGTGTACAGGTGTGTCGGTGTACAGGTGTGTCGGTGTACAGGTGTGTTGACAGGTGTGCGGTGTACAGGTGTGTCGGTGTACAGGTGTCGGTGTCAGGTGTGTCGTGTACAGGTGTGTCGGTGTACAGGTGTGTACAGGTGTGTCGGTGTACAGGTGTGTCGGTGCACAGGTGTGTCGGTGTACAGGTGTGTCGGTGTACAGGTGTGTCGGTGTGCTAGGTGTGTCGGTGTACAGGTGTGTCGGTGTACAGGTGTCGGTGTACAGGTGTGTCGGTGTACAGGTGTGCCGTTGTAGAGGTGTGTCGGTGTACAGGTGTGTCGGTGTACAGGTGTGTCAGGTGTACAGTGGGTGTACAGGTGTGTCGGTGTACAGGTGTGCCGGTGCACAGGTGTGTCGGGTGTACAGGTGGTGTGTCGGTGTACAGGTGTGTCGGTGTAACAGTGTGTCGGTGTACAGGTGTGTCGGTACAGGTGTACAGGTGTACAGGTGTACAGGTGACTTTATGTAATTGTTCCTCTGCCACAGAATAATCGGGGGTATATTCTGTTTCTATCTCCTCCCCATTTCCTCCCTCCGCCTGTCTGCCAGTCTGCCCTCCTCCGTCTGCCAGTCTCACCTCCCTCCGTCTGCAGTCTGCTCTCCTCCACCTGCCAGTCTGCCTCCATCCGTCTGCCAGTCTGTCTCCTCTGTCCGCCCGTCTGTCAGTCTGCACGGTGTGGCTGGGCCTGTGCCAGTGGTTGGGCCTGTACCAGGTGTGGCTGGCCCCACCAGGTGTGGTTGCCTGCACCAGGCACCTGTACCAGGTGTGGCTGGGTCTGTACCAGGTGGCTGGACCCTGCACCAGGTGGCTGGGCCTCATACTGGTGGCTGGCCTGCACCAGGTGGCTGGGCCTGCAAGTCTGGGCCTGGTACCAGGTGGCTGGCCCTGTACCAGGTGGCTGGGCCCTGGCCCAGGTCACCAGGTGGCTGGGCCTGTACCAGGTGTGGCTGGGCCCACCAGTGGCTGGGCCTGTACCAGGTGTGGTTGGGCCTGGTACCAGGTGTGGCTGCCTGTCCAGGTGGCTGGGCCTGTACCAGGTGTGGCTGGGCCTGCACCAGTGGCTGGGCCTCACCAGGTGTGGCTGGGCCTGTACCAGGTGTGGCTGCCTGCACCAGGTGGCTGGCCCACCAGGGTGTGTGGTTGGCCTGTACCAGGTGTGGCTGGGCCTGTACCAGGTGTGGCTGCCTGTAATAGGTGTGGCTGGGCTCTGTACCAGGTGTGGTTGGGCTCTGCACTCAGTGGCTGGGCTCCACCAGGTGGCTGGGCTCTGCACCAGGTGTGGCTGGGCTCTGTACCAGGTGTGGCTGGGCTCTGTACCAGGTGTGGCTGGGCCCTGCACCAGGTGCTGGGCCCTGTACCAGGTGTGGCTGGGCCTGCACCAGTGTGGCTGGGCCCACCAGGTGTGGTTGGGCCTGTACCAGGTGGCTGGCCTGGTACCAGGTGTGGCTGGGCCTGTACCAGGTGGCTGGGCCTGTACCAGGTGGCCCTGTACCAGGTGGGCTGGGCCTGTACCAGGTGGCTGGGCCTGTACCAGTGTGGCTGGCCTGCACCAGGTGTGGCTGGGCCTGTACCAGGTGTGGCTGGGCCTGTACCAGGTGTGGCTGGGCCTCTGTACCAGGTGTGGCTGGGCCTGCACTGGTTGGCCTGTACCAGGTGTGGCTGGGCCCTGCACTCAGGTGGCTGGGCCTGCACCAGGTGGCTGGCCCCACCAGGTGGCTGGCCTCCACCAGGTGTGGCTGGGCCCTGTACCAGGTGTGGCTGGGCCTGGTACCAGGTGTGGCTGGGCCTGTACCAGGTGTGGCTGGGCCTCGTGTGGGCCCGTACCAGGTGTGGCTGGCCTGTACCAGGTGTGGCTGGGCCTGCACCAGGTGTGGCTGGGCCTGTACCAGGGTGTGGCTGGGCTCTGTACCAGGTGTGGCTGGGCCACTCAGGTGGTTGGGCTTGCACCAGGTGTGGCTGGGCCTGCACCAGGTGTGGCTGGGCTCTGTACGGTGTGGCTGGGCTCTGTACCAGGTGTGGCTGGGCCTGTACCAGGTGTGCTGGGCCCTGTACCAGGTGTGGCTGGGCCTGGTACCTGGTGTGGCTGGGCTCTGCACCAGGTGTGGCTGGGCTCCTGTACCAGGTGTGGCTGGGCCTCACCAGGTGGCTGGGCCCCTGCACCAGGTGTGGCTGGGCCTGTACCAGGTGTGGCTGGCCTGTACCAGGTGGCTGGGCCTGCACCAGGTGTGGCTGGGCCCTGTACCAGGTGTGGTTGGGCCCTGCACCAGGTGTGGCTGGGCCTGCACTAGGTGTGGCTGGCCCTGTACCAGTGTGGCTGGGCTCCACCAGGTGTGGCTGGGCTCTGCACCAGGTGTGGCTGCCTGCACCAGGTGTGGTGGCGGCCTGTACTAGGTGGCCACCTGACCAGTGTGGCTGGGCCTGTACCAGGTGTGGTTGGGCCTGACGCTGCCTGTACCAGGTGTGGCTGGGCTCTGTACCAGTGTGGCTGGGCCTCTGTACCAGGTGTGGCTGGCCTGTACCAGGTGTGGCTGGGCCTGTACCAGGTGGCTGGGCCTGCACGGTGTGGCTGGGCCTGCACCAGGTGTGGCTGGCTCTGTACCAGGTGGCTGGGCCTGTACCAGGTGTGGTTGGCCTGTACCAGGTGTGGCTGGCCTGCACCAGGTGTGGCTGGGCTCTGCACTCTGCAGTGGCTGGGCCCTGTACCAGGTGTGGCTGGGCCTGTACCAGGTGTGGCTGGCCTGTACCAGGTGTGCTGCCTGGTACTGGTGGTTGGCCTGTACTGTGTGGCTGGGCCTGCACCAGGTGTGCTGGGCCTGCACCAGGTGGCTGGCCTCACCAGGTGTGGCTGGGCCTCCACCAGGTGGCTGGGCCCTCACCAGGTGGCTGGGCCTGTACTCAGGTGGCTGGCCTGCACCAGGGTGGTTGGCCTGCACCAGGTGTGGCTGGGCCTGTACCAGGTGTGGGCCCTGTACTAGGTGTGGCTGGCCCCACCAGGTGGCTGGGCCCCACCAGGTGTGGCTGGGCCTGTACCTGTGGCTGGGCCTCTGTACCAGGGGTGGCTGGGCTCTGCACCAGGTGTGGCTGGGCCTCTGCACCAGGTGTGGCTGGCCTGCACCAGTGTGGTTGGGCCTGCAATTGGCCTCTGCACCAGGTGTGCTGGGCCTGCACCAGGTGGTGGCTGGGCTCTGCACTCAGGTGTGGCTGGGCTGCACCAGGTGTGGCTGGGCCTGGCACCAGGTGTCTTGGCCTGTACCAGGTGTGGCTGGGCCCTGCACCAGGTGTGGCTGGGCCTGTCTACCAGGTGGCTGGGCCTGTACCAGTGGCTGCCCTGCACCAGGTGTGGCTGGCCTGTACCAGGTGTGGCTGGGCCCTGGCACGTGTGGCTGGGCCTGCACCAGGTGCGGCTGGGCCTGTACCAGGTGTGGCTGGGCTCTGTACCAGGTGTGGCGGCCTGTACCAGGTGTGGCTGGGCCTGTACCAGGTGGCTGGCCTGTACCAGGTGTGGCTGGGCCCTGTACCAGGTGTGGCTGGGCCTGCACCAGGTGTGGCTGGGCCTCACCAGGTGTGGCTGGCTCTGTACCAGGTGTGGCTGGGCTCCTGTACCAGGTGTGGCTGGCCTGTACCAGGGTGGCTGGGCTCTGCACCAGGTGGCTGGGCCTGCACCAGGTGTGCTGGGCCTGTACCAGGTGTGGCTGGGGCCCCGTACCCAGGTGTGTGGCTGGGCCTGTACCAGGTGTGGCTGGGCCTGTACCAGGTGTGGCTGGGCCTGCACCAGGTGCAGGCCCCGTACCAGGTGTGGCTGGCCTGTACCAGGTGTGGCTGGGCCTGTACCAGGTGGCTGGGCTCTTGTACCAGGTGCTGGCCCTGTGCTAGGTGTGGCTGGGCCTGTACAGTGTGGCTGGGCCTGGTACCAGGTGCTACCCCTGCACTAGGTGTGGCTGGG